CATTTAAGTCTCAGGGGCTGGTATAAAAGACAATAAACTGGACTGGATCTTTGTAACCTGTATTGCACATGGATTCACACTTAAAACAAGAGACTGTTTCAAACATTGTCAGGCAGAATCTTTCAGGCATCTCAATGCCTCCTTGATTTTCCTGTTTATCATGCCTCCATTTTATTGTGAACAGTAAAATCCATCCACTCTTTCGTCTCCAGGGCTGTTTTGAGTTCGGACAATAAAACCGATCCAATCGAATAACCATTTTCTTCATTTTTTAAACAAGTGGTAATACTACTCGTATTGTCCTCAGATCAACTGGGAATAACTGACTGCATGAGCACTTCGATATCATAATATTCGTCAATAAGTCTTCCGAAACAATTACTGCATCATGGGTTGGCTTGTATGAAGTCGTAATTATTTAAACTCCTTTTCGCAGGTTTCTTTGGTTGTTGAATTCAAGGTTATGCACCTTCAAGGTTAGAGGCCTAAATACACTGAACATTGAACAAGCCAATCCCTTTGCTATTCACACATATATTTCTGTTTGAAAAAGAGAATAAAACATATTGTCTCAACAACAGCAAGAAATTGGCTCTTGCAAATAATTAAGACAAACGATAGCTTCAGGCTCATAGCACATTCTAGGTATTTAAACGAACATGAACAGTATAGCCATTTTTCTTCAAAATGCTTCAGATAATTCAAGAACACATCTAAATATCCAAAACAACCTTCATCACAGTGGCCATTTGTCTGGCCACTTTGTATCACATATTAATGAATCACATATAGTAACCGGTGGTATCTTCACAATACAGATCCATGTAACCAAACATAGCTGAAGGTCTCTAACTAATACCTGCCCAGTTAACTGTCATCAGCAAACATGTCACCCACGGCTCCAGATTAGGGTCGTATCGGCGTATGTACGGATAAAAAATATGCACAATACGGAAGGACATGTTTTGGAAAAAGTAGCAGATACGAACCACTGCAATGGTGTACGGTCTTGGAATCATTTACAGTCGTATTTATCTGAAAAAAGTATTGTTTTATTGTTCATTTACCTGTTTACACAAGAGTGGCAATGTTGTGGTGCATACATGAAACGAAACACAAGATTACTGATACTCCATTAAATTCCATTCAGTACTCTAAATGTACTCTTCAAGTTTTCCAGTACTCATATATTGAAAAAATGAGTACGTACTCCTGATGTTGAAAAATTATCTGGAGCCCTGTCACCGCATACAAATTGATTTTTGTGTGTGCACAATTTACAAAATTCTCATTTTGAAAATCTGATCCTTGCATTCTAAATACGTTTTCAATTATGTCTTCTGTACATCCATCACACTGACAAACGGGTCGTTAATCTCGCTCTCATGGAGAGATAGCAACCATCTTTCATGTAAATCTCATGTTTCCAATCTCAACTGAGCAAATCGTAAAGTAATAGCAGTTTACTTATTTTGTTTATTTGTGACAATCTGAGTACCTATGTAAACTGCATGTTTTATGGGTAAAATGCACAGAATGAATAAAAACATCTCCTACTTGTGTCCTGCCAGTGACATACTAAAACAAAAGCATATAACAGATAACAGGATATGTAAATGTCATATACAGTGGGCACTCATTTGTCTACCATCTTGATTATAGACAGGACCAATGATCACACTATATGTACAAGTAGACAAATACCGTCTACACAGCAAGCAGCAATATTCCAGCTATATCACAGCTAACTAGAAGAGTGTTTACAAGGACTTGCAAAAACAGAAGCAACCTCTCACCACCTTTTCTGAAAGGCCCAGAAATCTTAAGCCATTCAACAAGTACAACGTCATGAGGAACCAAACTAGATTCCAGCCAAATCAGTTCGAGTCTTTAGTCATCATTTATTTTTAGGGAAACCCATCCCAATGAGAACAATTTGAACCAGAAAGTCCTTTTTCTTCAGAACATTAAACAGTAAGTCATACCACTGTTTGTTGAATGATATCAGTTTGGGTTGGTGACAACACATGCCACATTTCTTGTTCAGGAAAGTATACATGTACTTTTGGTTTGGGAAACTTGTTTGTTGCAAGACAACTTAAAACAGAAAATGATATGCCACTCACAAACTTACTAAAAAAGTTGCATGCACTTGTGGTTTCATGACCTAACTTACATGTCTTCAGAATAAATGCCTCAGATACAGAATGTCTGGCTAAATAACATTTGATCATATGCTAGATTATTTGCAGCTGGAAACAGGGATGCTAACTCCAGAGACCATGGTCTCAGCTAACACGGAGTCCCACAGATATGACCATTCCAGTGACCTTTACCTTCAAAATACCTTGCTAATGACCTTCACCTTGACCTTAAACCTTTTCAGACCCCTCCCTACAGACGACATATTTCTCTCGGACCTACAAAACCTGCTTCTTGAGTAATTTTTCAAATTAGCCATTCCTTAGTCAATCACCTTGCAGATGAACTGTGGAATTGAACTCATTATTCCGAACTCTAGAACACAAAAATACCATCCATTCGCATCATAATCTGAACTTTGTCACTCATACTGGACTGATCTTTACCTGTCAATCAGTTCCCAAATTAGATAAAGGTTCAAAAGTCACTCATACTGAAATAATCTGTTTATTTCTTACTGGCTTAGATTAACGGGCTTTCAGTGTCTCTCTTTCTCACATGTACAACACCTTACAATGGACCAAGGCATAACAAGGTATTTTCTATAAAAATGAGCTTACAAGCAAATATACAAGAAATATACATGCCACATATGAGCTTAAGATGACCACTAGTGTGGATCTAAAAATACCTATCATTATCATCATCATCATCATCATGAGTTGTTTAATATACATAAAAGTTCTGACATTCCAAATACACACTACAAATTATTACATTTCACATATTTTAAACTTGATCTGTCATAGCTGAAAGCACATGTTCCATACTTGAGTTAAAGTTTACATAAACTAAAATAAACTGTTCATGTTTAATTACTACCCATACCTTACAACAACAGCACTGTGACATACATCATCATGAAATGAGTGACAAACCTGAAATAAGCTTATAGCATAGGATGACATAACACACATCAAACCTACAACCATGTATGGAGTCATCTCCAGAGGGCGGTGGGGTAGCCTAGTGGTTAAAGTGTTGGCTTGTCACGCCGAAGACCCGGGTTCGATTCCCCACATGGGTACAATGTGTGAAGCCCATTTCTGGTGTCCCCCCGCCGTGATATTGCTGGAATATTGCTATAAGCGGTGTTAAGCCATACTCACTCATTCATCTCCTGATGTATACTGGTGAACAGGCCTACCCAAGTAACAATGAAACATTACATGGATGATCCTCATAATCCAAATACCAGTACAAATTTGATAAAGACAAGTTCTCTTCCCCCAAAATGATATATGATATGAAGTCATTCAGTCATATGGACAGAATTATGGGGAGTTGGTCTTGTTTTGGAAAAAAATCTTTTTGGCTTCTATTATGACTACTGTTACCCTCTTTTAAGAATACCGTATCAGTAAGTTGGTACATTTTGTTAAACAACATGTGAATCCTACATACTATCAACTCACGATCACAATTATACTAGCAAGCTTGTCTTAGTGTCCTGGGTACCAAACAAATCAGGTAGCTAGGCTCAGTAGCTAGAATGTCAAGATACATTGACAATGTGGATTGTTGCAACCAATACTGAATACAGGACTAGTCCAGGGATGATTATTTACACGCTGTCAACATATGGCTGGAATACTGCTGAGACTGGCATTAAACAATAACACTGCAACATATGTTATACTAGTATTTGGGATTACACTTTCTTAGTAATGGACAGATTCTAACACTTTTGTTGGGATGAGTCCCCCGCCGTGGCTGAGCGGTCTAGGCATCTGACTTTGTGTGCTGGCGATTAGGTGCCGGACTCTGAGGATGTGGGTTCGAATCCCGGATGGGACTCAATCCAACAAAACTAGAATCTGTACTTTACTACAGGGGTGGAAATAACCCATTGCCCAACGTCCGAGTCCAGTGTTTTTTTCTGTCGGGCAAGCAAATTTGTATATCACACTGTACCGGTGTCCAGTTGACTTTCCAATGTTAATTATGTTGTTTATTTAAAAAATCAGCAAGAAAACGGTCGGTATAGTAGAAAAATTATCAGGGCAAGTGACATTACATGTGCCACTGTACCAGAGTACACTATCAATGTTAAAGTTATTTCCACCCCTGTACTAAGATAGTGTAATCCCAAATATAACATATGTTACATTTGACCACTTTCTAAAATGGCATTGTGTAGTTCACAAATAACACTGCTTATCCTACATATGAAATACACTACTCACAACACATCCTGCACACAGAGAAGACACAGTAAAGACTGCTTCATCGACAGGATCATAAAACCTGAAGAAACACATGATGCATTCCTTTCATTGTCAGTACTTCGACAACTTTCCTTCTAGACCTGCAAGTTCGGGTGACGCACACATTGTAAATTTCAATTAAAAAAAATTGAATTCAAATAATACCAATTTAACAATGCTCTATCGCACTGTTACAAAACTCATAAGCTTCTGAAGAGGCTGGACCTATTCTAAAATGGTATCTACATATAACATTCTTCTGCATGTGACATGGAAGAATATGGTTGTAAGGACTAAACATTTATAACATGGGGAATGTGGGGTGGGTGGTTGAGGGCACTGTGGGACTTGTCTCAGGACACTATCCGATTTTGCTGTCTTTCGCTGTCACTTAATCAAAACACCCCACTGGCCTAATATTCTCACCGAACCACCCCTCCCAAAATCAAATATCCAGTCCCTTCCACACTGTTGAGATCATAATATTATTGATTTAATCTGATGAGGTTGCTACATTCCATTCGAGAGCTGAGCATCATGGGTAGCAATACAGTGTTCAATGTATTTGTTATAATACAAATACGGTCTCATTAATTAATCTGTGAATAAAATGTCTCAGCAAAAACACTGCTTCTGACTTATGACTAGCATTGAAATTGAGACACACAAAGAGAACACCTTTCAACAGTGAACTATAAAGATATTGCCTGTGATCCAATTCAACTGCTTGATCCCAAGTTTTCTTGAATTTTTGAAGGAACAATGATATTGTGATATTAAACCTTCACAGTTGTACCCTGTATTGGAATTTACCAGAAATCTGTCCACAAAGTGGCTGTGATACCTACACAATGTGGCATGAAACTATGACAGTGACATTCATATTTCATTTTATCGTACTTTTCTAATTAAATGTAAGATATCTTAACAAACCTAACAAAACCTTAAAGCTATTGCCTGTGATACAAACCCCAATTTACAAAAGCTGAATTCAAGGGCTTGATCCTTGGGTTTCTTGAAGTGCTGGAGGAATGACGATATTGTGATACTAGAACGTACCAGTTATACCACACATTGGAAAACTGTCTAAAAAGTGGTGATACCTCCAAAATGTGGCATGAAACTATCACATTGACTTTCACATTTCATTTTATCATATTTTTCTAATTAACAGAAACATCATTAAACAAAGTATTGACAGATCAGTGTTCTCCTTGACAGAGATAAGTGTTTCCATTATCAGAGATCACTGTTCTCATTGACAGAGAAAAGTGTTTCCATTATAAGAGATCACTGTTCTCATTGTTTGCATTAGAAAAGATCACTGTTCTCATTGACAGAGATAAGTCTTTCCATTATCAGAGATCACTGTTCTCATTGATTGGAAGTGGGTTGATCAAACTTGCCCAACATTCACTGCTTGCAAATCAAATATATCATGGACTGATTACAAAAATATCACACAAATAAATATTACCATACTCTCATCTATCGGAAACAAAAGTCAGTATTGTCAAACTGAAGTGGAAGTTAAAAAGATGGTGTGTGAGTAATCTCAGTTTCATCTGCATCCATGTATGTTTAGCTCAATGAACAATTTACTGGAAGAAAGTTTGAGATGCTGGGACTCTACGGACATCTTCTCATCAAAGTCCTTCTGGACTGTCCTCGGGTGGAACACTGTAGCGAACACCGTTAATCTGAAAGAACACATTACATATTACTAAAAGCACACAGTTATTGCTTGTCTCAAAACGTCTTCCATTATTAAAGAATGAGTGTGAGTGTGGATTAATGCTGCTTTGAACAGAATACCATGTTCCAGTTATCTCATGTTGTGTCAGCATTTTACACCTGCTATAGCAATATTCCAACAATATCACGGCGAAGGACACCAGAAATGTGCTTCTCACATTGTACCCATGTGGGGAATTGAACCCAGGTCTTCAGTGTGACGAGCAAACACTTTAACAATTAGGCTACCCCACCACCCCAAGACCTAAAGTGATGCAGGCCTCAGACATGTACCAATTTATTGAAAGCTACGAGCACTGGAATGCTGCTGTCAATACAAACAATCATGTTTATGGATGGATGGATTACTTTTCACTACTCTCTATCCTGAATATATTGTAGTCTTGCAATATTGATGGAAATCCTGTGACTACAATTAAGATGAAGACTTATTGTTGACTATGATGTGACCACTACTACTGCACCTGAATATCATAGTCCATGACAAACGGTGGTACATCCAGTTGGTCAGGGTTCATCTTGGTGTACAGATACTGGACACCACGCAGGTTATGCACCTTTGGCTTGATGTCTGATGCCGTAAAAGTGGTGAAAAACCATGTTGCGAGCTGAAAAGCACATGTAAAGCACATGTAAAGCACATGTAAAGTTATTAAATTCTCAAATGAAAACACTTTTCCACACAGGCATCAGTGGATGTCAATGACTGAGTAACTGTATTTACTGATGGAGCTACATCCAAAGTGTGATGACTCGAGAAAAAACATCATACACATGGTAAATGTCTTAGTCTATACAGAAATTTATGTTATCACTTCTCAAGAGGAAATTTGGGATAGTTTGTCACTATATTACCAATTTTGTGAGTGGCAAGAAAATCAGACATTTTTCTTGTGTAAGGCTTCACAACCTTTGCAGCAATGTCAAGGTCAAGTACATGACACCGGACTACACCAGTTGTCAGTGTTTCCGTTATCTGGTATATACCAGACTTTGACCGGTACAAATTTAGAATGTCCGGTAATTTCAAAGGCTGTCGGTCATCGTGTCCAGCAAATTCTAAAGTCAATTTTCTAATTACCTCTATCAATCTTATTTCTCTTCAATAAAGATTACGTTTTCACAATGACATCGAGGTGTTGTCAAGTAAAAAATAGCAGTTTTGGAAAACCCCAGGCTAAAAAGAGCGGCACTGATGCATTGCGATACCCTCAACATTTCTGGCTGGTTGTTCGGGTGCAAGGTCTCGTACACAATGAAATGCATGATCACTTGACGGGCAAATTTTACAAAGAACTGGCATTTGAAATGCTCGACGGTCACTAGGGCTGCACAATATAACCGGTTTACCGGTATTTACCGGTTCAGACATGAAAACGATACATATTGCGATACGCTGATCGAAAACCGGTATTTTGACTTTCATTCGGGAAACTTCGTAACACTCGGGAATCTTCGGATATTTCCTTGTTTCATTTGTGTCAAATATTATTTACATGTTTATTTTGTCATGATTAAAAGTTGTGATTAAAGCCTAATCAAGCATAGTGATTTTGTTGTGTTCATGCTTTATAAATCAAGCATTAACTCGTTATAAGTATTTTTTTGTTTAAAAAATACTTCTTGCAATATATTGTAATACATATCACAATATATGCTTTCGCATCGCAATATATCGCAATATGAAAATTCTCTGCAATACCCTACCCTACCGGTCACAATGTCCAGCTATACAAAATGCCAGCGGAAACACTGGTTGTACCAGTGCATGAATTGAGCCTTAACATTTGTCCTGTGTATTGTAACACGTAATGGACCTTAACAGCTGCTGCCAGTTGTTACTATGGAGAGGTGAATGAGTTAACCCTTCATGTGAACTAAATCAGGCCTATATCACTAGTTCACTAATGCTCACCTTAGACCACCAGGTGGGGTGTATCACATAGAAGGCTTTTAGGTTCTTCTTATATCTGTAACACAAAGTAAAACATTTGTCATGGTCACCCATGAAGATCCAGGTTAGAATTGGTCTTCAGTAACCTATGACCACCTCATTCAGCAGTGTTGCATCCAGGAATTGGGATTAAGGGGGACATCCCCCTTAACTGTTACAAAAAAAGGGGGACATGACACCAATTAGGGGGGATCACATATTGACTAAAGATAGGTATTTACTGTAATGCTGATGCTGTCACAGCAATGCTTAACTATTCAAATGACTTTTCTTACCTGGCCTTTGGCTCAATACTTGTGAAATAAACGTCTCTCTTTCTTAGCTTTTCATAGGGAAATTCCTTAGATCTTGGCCCCTCAATTTGGAATGTAGAAGGGGGTCAGGTTATCTACAGGTTACACTTTCGTGAAACTTTTTTTCAGGGGGTAAGAAAACAACATTACATATTACTTTAAGGGAATGAACAAGAGAAGACAAGTAAAGACAGTAAATTTGCAATTAAACATCACTAGACAAAAGTGATACCATGACCACCTCATCCAGGTACCAATACCATGACCACCTCATCCAGGCATCAATTCCGTGACCACCTCATCCAGGCACCAATACCATGACCACCTCATCCATGGCACCAATACCATGACCACCTCATCCAGGTACCAATACCATGACCACCTCATCCAGGTACCAATACCATGACCCCCCTCATCCAGGCACCAATACCATGATCACCTCATCCAGGTACCAATACCATGACCCCCCTAATCCAGGCACCAATACCATGACCACCTCATCCAGGCACCAATACCATGACCCCCCTCATCCAGGCACCAATACCATGACCACCTCATCCAGGCACCAATACCATGACCCACCTCATCCAGGCACCAATTCCATGACCACCTCATCCAGGCACCAATACCATGACCACCTCATCCAGGCACCAATACCATGACCCCCTCATCCAGGCACCAATACCATGACCACCTCATCCAGGCACCAATTCCATGATCACCTCATCCAGGCACCAATACCATGACCACCTCATCCAGGTACCAATACCATGACCACCTCATCCAGGTACCAATACCATGATCACCTCATCCAGGTACCAATACCATGACCACCTCATCCAGGCACCAATTCCATGACCACCTCATCCAGGCAACAATTCCATGACCACCTCATCCAGGTACCAATACCATGACCCCCCTCATCCAGGCACCAATACCATGACCACCTCATCCAGGCACCAATTCCATGATCACCTTATCCAGGCACCAATACCATGACCACCTCATCCAGGTACCAATACCATGACCACCTCATCCAGGTACCAATACCATGATCACCTCATCCAGGTACCAATACCATGACCCCCCTCATCCAGGCACCAATTCCATGACCACCTCATCCAGGCACCAATACCATGACCCCCTCATCCAGGCACCAATACCATGACCCCTCATCCAGGCACCAATTCCATGACCACCTCATCCAGGTACCAATACCATGACCCTTCATCCAGGTACCAATACCATGACCCCCCTCATCCAGGCACCAATACCATGACCACCTCATCCAGGCACCAATAACATGACCCCCCTCATCCAGGCACCAATACCATGACCACCTCATCCAGGCACCAATACCATGACCCCCTCATCCAGGCACCAATACCATGACCACCTCATCCAGGCACCAATTCCATGATCACCTCATCCAGGCACCAATACCATGACCACCTCATCCAGGTACCAATACCATGACCACCTCATCCAGGTACCAATACCATGATCACCTCATCCAGGTACCAATACCATGACCCCTCATCCAGGCACCAATTCCATGACCACCTCATCCAGGCAACAATTCCATGACCACCTCATCCAGGTACCAATACCATGACCCCCTCATCCAGGCACCAATACCATGACCACCTCATCCAGGCACCAATTCCATGATCACCTTATCCAGGCACCAATACCATGACCACCTCATCCAGGTACCAATACCATGACCACCTCATCCAGGTACCAATACCATGATCACCTCATCCAGGTACCAATACCATGACCCCCCTCATCCAGGCACCAATTCCATGACCACCTCATCCAGGCACCAATACCATGACCCCCCTCATCCAGGCACTAATACCATGACCCCCTCATCCAGGCACCAATTCCATGACCACCTCATCCAGGTACCAATACCATGACCCCCTTCATCCAGGTACCAATACCATGACCCCCCTCATCCAGGTACCAATACCATGATCACCTCATCCAGGCACAAATACCATGACCACCTCATCCAGGCACCAATACCATGACCACCTCATCCAGGCACCAATACCATGACCACCTAGTCCAGGTACCAATACCATGACCACCTCATCCAGGCACCAACACCATGACCACCTCACCCAGGCACAAATACCATGACCACCTAACCCAGGTACCAATACCATGACCACCTAACCCAGGCACAAATACCATGACCACCTCATCCAGGTACCAATACCATGACCACCTCATCCAGGCACCAATACCATGACCACCTTACCCAGGTACCAATACCATGACCACCTCATCCAGGCACCAATACCATGTCCACCCAACCCAGGTATCAACAGATACCAATTCTGTATCTCCCTCACTATCATATCCAAATGGCAACATGGAGATACCAGGAACCATCCTGTTTAAGATACTAACCTGCGATCTAATAAACTATAAGCAAACTTGAGGTAGTTCATAGCCGGGTGGTTGCTGCTGTCTGTCTGCGTGTGGAAGTACACCACCACATAGTCCTTCTCCACTACAGGGTCCATCACTCGCACCATGTAGAGCAGGGCCTGAAACACACATGTAGAGCAGGGCCTGAAACACACATGCAGAGAAGTGCCTGAAACACACATGAAGGGAAGCGTCTGATTCACACATGTAGAGCAGGATCTGAAACACACATGTAGAACTGGGTCTGAAACACACATGTATAAAAGCATCTGAAACACACATGTAGAGAAGCGACTGAAAAACACATATAGACCAGGGCCTGAAACACACATGCAGAGAAAGGCCTGAAACACACATGTAGAGCAGAGTCTGAAACACACATGTATAAAAAGTGTCTGAATCACACATGTATAAAAAGTGTCTGAATCACACATGTATAAAAAGTGTCTGAATCACACATGTATAAAAAGTGTCTGAATCACACATGTATAAAAAGTGTCAGAATCACACATGTAGAACAGGGTCTGAAACACACATGTGGAGCAGGGTCTGAAACACATGTAGACCAGGGCCTCCAACACACATGTAGAGCATATATATGTATATATTTAGGCTCATAGTAAAAAGCATCCAGTCTCCATAAAATTCTCAGAGTCAAAGACAATAAAAGCCTTATGTAATTTTATGAGAAAATCCTAATGCAGACTTCCATGAATGGCTCACCCTCTCTGGATCCACATTGTTGGCAGGGAAGTTCTTGCCAACAAACACAACCACGGGTCGGCCAACACGGTCCACTCCTGACCGATACAAACATCTCAGGGCTGCTATGTCGGTTAGATCGTCGGTCTTGGAGCGCTTCAAGAACCTGTCATATCTTAGAAGAAAAGAATAAATTAATTGCAATAAGAGAGAGACAGTGTGTTGTTCATTTAACGAATTGTTCTCTAAGTGGGTAATGAAACACTGGCTTTAGGGGTGATTAGTAAATGTGTAAACAACTGAAGTACAAAAGCCCTCCCTATCTCCAGCGAAACAATGACATTCTCTAACCAGCACCCAGTCAATGTCTGTCAGGTCACACCCATCAACATCCAGGTTAGAACTGATCTTCAGCAACCCATGCTTGTTATAAGAGACAACTAACGGAAGTAGGGATCAGACTTGTTAACTTGGCTGACACTTGTCATCATATCCCATCTGTTGAACACTGGATTGTCTGGCCCAGATTTGATTATTTACAGGCTACTGCCATATAGCTGGAATATTGCTGAGTGCAGCGTTAAACAACAAACAAACCTGTCACATCATCAGTCTCAATATTCTGTAAATTCCAAATGCATAATCATACCTCCTTTTCATCTCTATTTTCCTCTGTTCGTCACTACCCTTCCCATAGAGACTTGTTTTCTTCACTTTATCAGGGTTTTCTTCCATTTGAGAAAAGGGATGATGACCCACATCGAGTGCTGTTGATTGCTCAAATGCCCGATTTAGGTCAATGGTCTCTTCAAAGTCTTCTCTTCCTTCTGCCTCTGTAAGCACACCACAATATCAAAAGAGAAAATTGCTGTCGTTGATTTTAAAGCAAACATTTTTATCAATCTTTTTATCCAGCCCTACATTGCAGGTTCAATATTTCCTTAACACTTGTACTGTTATACCACTTATATAATATGTAATGTAATATATTTTTACTCACTGAGAGCTGCAAATGCAGGTTTGTCCAAAATGCGAATCTGTCTGTCTTTGATAACAGGTTCACCATTTTCATTCCCTATGTCCCGAGGCAGCAGTTCTTCAGCGTACTTCTCTTCTCGGATATTGCGAGGGAAATACAAGGGCAATAATCCCTTGTACACATCCTGTAACAAAACAATGAGCAAACACATTGTTCTCTCCACTGATACTGCCAGAGAAAACTAAGGGCAATGATTGAGTGAGTTTAGTTTTATGCCGCTTTTAGCAACATTCCAGCGAGGGACACAAGAAATGGGCTTCAAACATTGTACCCATGAGGGGAATTGAAAACCAGGGACTTTGGTGTGACGAGTGAACGCTTTAACCACTAGGCTACCCCACTGCCAGTAAAGGCAATAATCGCCTGGAATATTTCACATACGTGTATTTCAAGCAACAATTACTTATATACCAGTCATCTGTTCTTATCATACAATGAGAAGAACAGATAAATGGTATTACTGGTATATAATCACAAAGCCTTGCAACACTTTGAACTAACAGGTCATGAAATGTCAGCTTAGTAGCATAGTAAATGTACATTTAACACCAGAAAGCACCCACTCCCTGCACTTATGTGAGCCACTATACAACAACTGTCTATTTGCAGGTTGTCCCCATACACTAGGATCTACCTTTGTAGTTATGTGATCATTTTCAATGATTTTTGCGATGCTGTAACTCACCACGTTCTCCTCTGAACACACAAACACAACTGTGTCTAGATCGTCACCATACTTCTCCAGGAAGCGTCTGGTCGTCCCTGTGGAAGAATTAATTGTAATTTGTAGTAAACTGAAGCAATGAGAAATAGTTCAGGATGAACAAGTGCTGAAGCCCTCAAACACTGAAAGACTACCATCACTGGAGTGTTACTTGTCTTAGACTGTCCTAGTAGTCTTAGACTCGCAGACTAGGTCTAATTTCATAGGCTGTGGTTATAATAGTATAGGAATGGATCATAGTTCTGATGAAAATGAATACCACCAAAAAAGGGGAAAGAAGACAGCATGAAATGTTCACATTTGATTGACATAATTGCAGATTTGATATTTTGAATTGATGTAAAATTAAGCTGACTTTCATTCTGATTTTCTATTTCTCTCTGTATATTTTTAGTTTATGAGCTAGGTAATAAACAAAGGTCAGTGATTCTTATTTCTTGATTTACAGATTCTTGGGAAACAAAAAATGAAAGCTTACTGATTCCAATGTGTGCACCACTCTCAGATGGGTAACCCCTCCTGCTGGTGTGAATACAACAGAGACCTATGGAGTGTACGTTGTATTCCCTAGAAAAACAAAGAAAGTCTGGATATACAAACACAACAGATACCCAAGGAGTGTATGTTGTATTCCCTAGATAAACACAGAAAGTCTGGATAAAACAAACACGACAGCGACCTATGGAGTGTATGTTGTATTTCCTAGATAAACACAGAAAGTCTGGATAAACAAACACGACAGAGACCCATGAAGCCTATGTTGTATTCCCTAGATAAACACAGAAAGTCTGAATAAACAAACACAACAGAGACCCATGGAGCGTACGTTGTATTCCCTAGATAAACACAGAAAGTCTGAATAAACAAACACAACAGAGACCCATGGAGTGTATGTTGTATTCCCTGGATAAACACAGAAAGTCTGGATAAACAAACACAACAGAGACCTAGATAAACACAGAACATGTTGATAAACAAGCAAAACCTAGGGTATAAATGTTGATGTTGTTCAATGCAGAATGAAGCGATAAGCAAATTAAACACAGGCCAAGGATGTTGTATTTTGAAGATAAACAAGGAACATTTTGACAAACACATATAAGAAAGGCCGAGGGGATGAATGTTGTATTCCCAAAGTAAATACAGAAAGTGTTTTATGTAAAATATTACCTGCACAATTGTAATGTGTTCCTGTAGCTATTGTACAGGGCGCTCTCAGCCGCCGTCACGTACTTGATGTTAAACCGGGGGCCGACTGTATGGATGATATAACGTGCAGGAAGGTTGTGGCCTTTTGTAATCTTTGCCTCGCCTGTCTTGCAAACTGAACAGAAAAGAGTGAGTGAGGGAGTGAGTGAGTGAGCATGCTTTAAAGGCTTCTTTTAGCAATATTGTGCAAGGAGAGAAAAAGAAACATTATGTCACAACTGAATGAGGAAGTGATAAGCATGGTTTTAAAACCTCTTTTAGCAGCATTGTGTCCGGAATTGCCAGAAACCTGTGTAACATATTGTATCCATGACCAGCAAGACTTTAATGACGTGGTTACCCTATCGCCCTGGGCCCAGATTTTCGAAGCTCTCTTAGCGTTAAGATAGTCGTAAGTGCCATACATTAACTTATGACTATGTTAGCGCTAAGCGAGCTTTGAAAATCTAGGCCCTGGTTCATAACCAATGGTAGAAGATATTAACATATACAAAAGGTACAAGATCTAATTTGCATTTGTCCTCTACAGCCTATGTGATGCGTTTTGGGCCTGCTCATATTTCCAAAATAGCATTACTGACACAAAGTTGTATACCCACGTCAGGATGGGAGCGGGCTTGCGCTTCACGGTTGAGCACAATTGTATGCCCTTTCACAGGGTTTTACATGACGCGTGATTCCTGTGTATTGACGCAACAATTTTGTAAAACACCTTCAAAATATTATCATACGAGCCAAACTTGATGCAAGTTTTATGAGTTACCCTCACAATTCAGTTCAGAGTCAACAAAATTGATCTGATAAGCAAACAATGATAGTTTTCATGAGGTCTTCATTAATTTAGATTTTTCTTTCAATTCATGTTAATAACTGTATGTTACAGTGAATAAATCACAAGTCTGATTATTTGTTCATATACTTGAGTTTGTTATGACTGAACTGAACTGTGAAAAATATACTGTTTATTAACTAACATATGAATGAGAATACAACACATAAACAATAAAACCTTTCCCTTTTGATATACACACATAAATATTACGCTAAAATTTTAATGACTCCCAAATATTGAAAATGACTCCCAAAAATGAATACTGTGGGTCACCATGACTCTCTTTTTTCAAAGTCTGTGTAAAACCCTGCTTTCATCTTTAGAATCAAACATTCCTCTTAACATAACTGACTGACTGAGTTTTAGTTTTACGCCGCTTTTAGCAATATTCCAGCAATATCACGGCAGAGGACACCAGAAATGGGCTTCACACATTGTGCCCATGTGGGGAATCGAACCCGGGTCTTCGGCGTGACGAGCCAACGCTTTAACCACCGCCCCCTCTTTACATAAACACACCAGGAGTGAACAGAACAGAGCAGGATATTATTATAAAAAATCATACAAAATGATATAGAGAACATGCATACAATGTGCCATTATGACTTATATACATCTACACATATTAGAAATGTATAATTGATACAGGGACAATACAATTTTTGTTGAACTGGACAGTTTCTGTACTAAAGCCAAGGAGGGTTGTTGGATTTCATGAGGAAATAAACTTATCAATATGATGGTTATTACAAAAATAACTAGGAAGTGTACTCTTTCTTACATCATTAGAACTGTACATAAGATACAAATATAATATGAAATATGTCACGTAAACATGGTGGTTACAAATTGTACATATTCTATCAGGGCTCCAGATAATGTTTCAACATCAGGAGTACGTACTCCTTATATTTTCAATATAGGAGTACTGGATAAACTTAAGTACATTTTGAGTTCTGAATGGAATTTAATGGCGTATCAGTAATCTTGTGTGTCGTTTCATATATGCACCACAACATTACTACTCTTGTGTAAACAGGTCAATAAACAACACTCTTTCAGATAAATACGTCTGTAAATGATTCCAAGACCGTACAGCATTATTGCTGTGGTGCGTATGTGCTACGTTTTCTAAATTAATTCCTACCGTATCATGCATATTTTTTATCCGCGACATAAATACAGATACGGCCCTTATCTGGAGCCCTGTTCTATTTTCTATGTCTATATTAAACCATATGCTGGTTTCAACCGGTAATCTACGATTCCATGATCGCAGTTTTGTCAACCAAATACGTAGTTTCAGTGAAAGGCTGATCAAATAAGGTTCTAAGTTGGGAGTATGCTTATATAACGGGAAGTATTTACTTTTAGATGAATTTTGAAGGGCAGCAATCCATGAATGCTTAAACTGATCTATAAGTGTACATTTAACATTGTTTTTCAGTCAGGATACGGAAAGACAACTTTGTGAAAGCCGTATGTATAAGATATAGTGTTGGGAATTGGTTGAAATCTCACAATTGATGATTGCTTCATTACCAACGAACAATCATCGACAAAAATTGGTTAGCGTCATTTTTCAGATTTTCCCATCCAGGTTGTTATTGCAGATATGTATAACATGATGCAACTTGCTACTTTAAAGTGATGACTAATATATCATGAACATAAACTTCCCGGAGTCTTCAAGAAATATTCAGTCATGGTTTTTCAGTTAGGGAAGTGAGTTTTCTAAGAATTAAACACGTTTTCAGGCCCTGACAACTTCAACGATATGTTCCATTTTGTCAAGTATTTCAATGACTAAAACAGTAGTTCCAAAATCGTTTATGTTCGATTATGAGAAAATGTGATCGATTGCTTGGTCGTTTGGTCACTGTGACCAATCTTCGATTATTTAAATTAATCGGAACACCACTAATAAGATAACGATACAGTTTGAAGTATACATTAAGAATGACATGCCATCTCTTAAACCATATTCTATGGTTACTATAAACATATGTTCTCAGTATGAATTTTACTTTACTTCTACACTTCATTCAAATGGCACTTCTTTACCGCAAAAGTGTGTCATCCAATATGACAGTGATATTATTCCATCATTACAACATCCAGAACAGAAAAGGGAACTGAATATGGGTCAAATGCCCTCCAGCTAAAGAAGGACAAGCACTTATCTGTTTCTATTTTCCAAAAACAGAGACCAGCAGAAAAAATGTAGACAAAGATAACAACAAATGGTACCATGTGATACTATTTGGCGGAGATGTGATAGTTGAAGATACAAGAATACCTTGAGACTTGAAATATCTGTAAACAAACGGTTGTTTTTGTTTGTTTGTTGTTTAATGGCACACCTAGACTAACAACTAGTCTCTGAATGAACATATTTTACAGAAAAAATAGTTCATAATAAAAAAATGAAATACAATGAAAAGGAGCCCTGAGACTTTCTTCATTTTCCGGGACTATTTATATTTTTCATTTTTTTTCATTTTCATGAAACAAAAGTCTTCTATCATAATGGTAGACTACATTTTCAGAGACTAAACAAATCTGCAGAGAGATATTTCTTGAATGTGTGTTTGACAGGAATATTGATTGCCCTAGCCTTCCCACCGTCGGACGGTGGGCAGTTCAGGCAGCTGTACGTATAAAGTGTCTCCAGATTTTGAGAGCAAGCATAGGGATACCAGCTTAAGGTAGCATCTTCTGAGATTCCTATTCATAGAAAATTGGATCTCTCAAAAACTCCATTTTGGACACCAAAGTTACTAACATTTCTTAAAAATCCAAAGGTTCTATCTGCACTATATGTGTCAGTTTGATGTCCCATCACACATTAGAAATTTGTATATTGGAAGTACTAAGACAGAGTCATGTCATCTGATTGAAATGTTTAGTTCACAGTGAATGATTTACACACACAGTGTAATGTTTAGGTCAGGTAACTCGAGTGGTCAATGCTTGTGAAATCATTTGAAAGGACTGCCATTGATTGGGACAAATGTTCTTGAATTTGCTTTCACTGGTGGTGAAGCAATTACCTCATCAACATTCCAATTAAATGTTACCATGAGATGGAAAACCTTTGAATAATCATCCCCTCCTTATGACAATGAAAACATACAGATTTTATGAGTCATCAAATCTGTAGGGTAATCACACATGTTGTTTGGCTGGAGTGGAAGGACAGGGAAGAAGCAGGAGGCTTTTGCTCAGTGTGGGGTTTTGGGGTGTGGTGGGGGAGGCTCACAGGTTCTGCCACAGGTTCATATTAAACACCATTGACAGCTAGAGATCAACTGATAATTACAAGCGCTGTGCTCGCTTCTGAATTCAGCAGATTGGTACAGACCCTGAAACTGGGGAAATCTAGACTTGCCACATTATCTAGACTTGCATGGGCTTTCCCATTCTCTTCCCACAGAGGTTACTCCTGTCATATCTTCCTACTTAACCTCTGTTCTATTACGGCCATATTTCCCGGTTCTCGTTAAATCCCCTAGCGGCAAAAGATCGCAACACGAATTATCTCCCTTCTTTCTATCCAATCAGAACACCTGTTACATTGACTTAGATTCAACTTGACTAACACAAGCAAATGTGGGGCCACAAATATCCCCCATCTGCCGGGGACTTGTGTTGATGTTACACACAAGACGTTTAATGGCTAGCTTGTCCGTTGTCAACGAGGGCGACGGAGACGCCACTGATCCGCCATAACATGACTGAGTTCTGTCTAGAAGAAACGTTTGCGCATCGCGCAGGGGAAGAAGTTTAGTTTTCTCGAAGCATACGGAAATTACCGAGGCCTTGCGAATGATCACTTTTGAAACAACGTCGCTGATTGCACAACTAAATCTGATTGTCTCCAATCACGAGTCTTGAACGCTCACACCATGAAAGGGCCGTATTAGAACAGAGGTTACGTAGGAAGATATGACAGGAGTTACCTCTGTGGGAAGAGAATGGGGCTTTCCTGGATATGTTTGTTTCAGGGTCTGTATAACAGACTATGCCACACTCAGCAATATTCCAGCTATATGGTGGCGTCTGTAAATAATAGTGTCTGGACCAGACAATCCAGTGATCAACAGAATGAGCTTCTATCTACACAATTGGGATATCATGACATGTGTCATCAAGTCAAAGAGCCTGACCACCGAATTCCTGTAAACAAACTGACTTACCACTTATATAATTGTAAACATACTGACTTACCTCTTATATTATTGGATATTTCTTTATACAGTTCAGGCCCGGCCTTTAAATATTCCATCACTTTCATTATTTCTATCGTTGAGGTGTTCATTTGTTGTGTTGACAATAGCATGAACATTCAGTCTCGTCAAATCTCCATTCCTGAAAAATTCCAATTCAAAAGGTGAGGTAATATACCCTGAATGGATACTGGTGGAAAGGTGTGTGTGTAGGAAGGAGTGAATGAATGAGTATGGTTTTCTTGCATTATTCTGGCAATATCACCGTGGGGACATCAGAAATGAGCTTTACCAACAGTATACCCATCTAAGGAATTGAACCTGGGCCCTTTCAGTGATGAGGGTATGCTTTTACCATTAGGCTCACCCACTGGCTGTAAGTGAGTGAATATAGACTTATGAAAATAATAATTGGCCACTTATATAGCGCTAAACTCCACGCAGAGGGACAAGAACAGAACAGGGGACATTATATTACCCTGGATAACCCAAGTTGCTCGAGGTGCTGGAAGGTTTTACAGTCAAATGGCTTATACCACTTGGTACCCATTTTCTGCTGGGTGGCTAGAGGCATTTTTTAACAAACTCACTTGCCTAAGGTGTGACCACATGGGTGCTTTGTTGTGGGGCCTAAGAGTCCTAGAAACTCTCAGAAGGATAGCATATGTAGTGAGAGGAAAGTGAGTTAGTGAGTTTAGTTTTGCCACACTCAGCAAATATTCCAGCCATATGGAGTAGCGCTCTGTAATAATTGAGTCTGACCAGACAGTCCAGTGATCGACACCATGAGCATCAATCTACACAAGGTGGGAACCGATGACATGTGTCAACCAAGGTCAGCGAGCCTTACACCACCTGGTCCCGCTAGTAGCCTCTGTATTGACACGCTATGGGTTACTGAAGACCAATTCTAACCCACATCTTCAATGGGTTTAAGAGGAAAGCAGGGGGCTCCAGATGAAATTTTCAACATCAGAAGTACGTATTCCTTACTTTTTCAATGCAGGAGTACTGGAAAGCCTTAAGAGTACATCTAGAGTGCTTAATGGAGTATCAGTAATCTTGTGTTTCGCTTCACATATGCACAACAACATTGCTACTCTTGTGCAAACAGGTCCATAAAACGCAATAGAAACAATACCTTTTCAGATAAATATGTCTGTAAATGATTCAACAAGACACCATACACCATTGTCGTATGCATGATTCGCTATGTTTTCTTAATTATTTAATTAATTCTTATTATTATTTCCTCGCGCATCATGCATCGCTTTATATCCGTTACATTACCGACATACCGCCCTTATCTCGGAGCCCCTGGAAAAGCACTATGTTCAACGGCTCACACTGCACAGAGTGATGAGAGTATATTATTCAGTGACAACAGGGTTGTAATGCATAGCCGTATGTATATTCAACAATACACATGCTACACATCCATCCAATATTTCACATTGTCTCATCTATAAGACCTGAATGGAATCTGTTTTGGAACAGGTCACCAACCAATCTTGGTAGGGGTTGCAAGAGGAGATCACGGCATCAAATAGTAAAGACTCCATTGAGTTTGTTGTCTCTGTGTTTTTGTTCTAGATGATTAGGATTGTTGTTCATAATATCAATCACTGGATTATGGGGATCAGATTTAGTTATTTACAGGCTGCTATCATGTCGTTAGAATTTTGATGAGCATGGCGCTAAACAACAAAGCGTGACAATAATTCAAGTAATATGACACAGGGCTCCAGATAAGGGTCGTATTGGCATAATATGTATGGATAACAAATATGCAAGATAATGTAGGAAATAACTTAGAAAGAAAGGTTAGCAGATAATGCACCACAGCAATGGTTTACGGTCTTAGAATCATTTACAGATCGTGATTTATCTGAAAAGTATTGTTTTATTGTTTATTGACCTGTTTACACAAGAGTAGCAATGTTGGTATATATGAAGCTAAACACAGATTGCATGGATAACGCCATTAATTTCCATTCAGTTAATCTAAATGTATTCTTAAGGTTTTCCAGTACCTATACTGAATAAATAAGAGAGTAATGCATTCTGATATGAAAAATTATCTGGAGCCCTGATGACATATGCCTAATTGCAAGCAAGAAAATGTTAATGATATTATCCACCTCACCCAGGGAACAAGGAGGTAAAATCTGAGGGTTATATAAGAGGGAGTTATTTAACTATTCATGGGTGGTTATTCATCTCCAGGTCTAGTCATACAATCAGAACATAGTGGAAAATGTTCAATCAGAACACGAGACAACAAACTGATGCAGTCACATGTGTCATCATCTCACCACAGAATAATTTTTTGCATTCAGGTCGTTTCTTCGCTTACGGGAATGGAGAACATCGTTCATCTTCACTGTTATTTCTTTCACCATATTCAGGCAGCTGAGTCAGATTCCAGCGTGTACAGTTCTTCAATATTTGAAAACATCATCTCCCACTCCAAAAGGATCCATAGTGTCTTTTTCAAAGATATTGTGCTAAGGATGAAAGCTGGCCGGCTGGTTATATCATCCCCACTTGTTGTATCATTTTAGATAAACACCACAGTAGTACATAGTCCACTAATCAAAGTGATCATGGCAACCTGAAACAAGATGTGGTTGAAATCAAGCATCTGTTGTGTCTTTGATATTTTACAAAAATTACTCAATGTTCATCAGATTTTTACACGCTGAAGAGTATATGGTGGAATAAATACATAGATTTTCTGGGAGGAATAACCCTTTTCAAGTTATGTGAGGCAGGACATACAACATTTCTTTTTCTCATTTTCTGCTTTACAGGATTTCATATCACCATCATAATATCATTGATGGAGATCCATGTTATTCCATAAGAAATTATTTTGGTGTTCCCAACAACACCTACCTTACCCAATCTAAATATTACGTAATCCCTTATGCTGACTAGCTCAACGTTTTATAAATATTGTGATCACCAACTAAAATTACCCGACAACTTGGTATGAATCATGTGTAAGCATACACACACTCTCGCGGGTCGTGAAAAAATTGTTTTGGTCACCAACGACTTGTCTACTTATCTTGCCCCAATCTAAGCCAGTATCCTATGTCACATGCATCTCACAGTCGTGGGCAGTAAGAATAAAAACAGTTTATACTGAAGAAAAACACAGCAAACCATATGAAATAGGACAACGAAAATGGACGTCTATAATTTCCCTCAGCTGACGACTGCGGAACCCTTCTGAAGCCGATGACAAGGAGGAAGTGTTACTGAGACTGAAAGCCCTACTTCTTAAACTTTTCCTTCAGATCGTCTGAAACAGCCTTAGACATAAACCAATTATACTCCAAACTAAACATATTTAACGCTAGAATGATGCCAAACCTTTCAAAATAATATGAGCACTGATAGCTTATATTACAGGAGTTTGAAACTGTCTCTTCTGCTCTGTTCGTTCACAGCTCGCGTGAGTCCGCCATTTTGTTCAGTCATGTGACTTTATAAACAACGATGAACTCGCCTGATTATAGTGGTGTTGCATTTATGTATGCTGTAAATGACTGCATCTGACAAACGAAACTAGGTGATAAAATAAGATGTACTTCCATTTCTTGTAGAATGCTTCTTTCCCTTGTCAGTAATAAAGTCATCCCTTGTGAGAAATGGACATGTCAAGGGAAGTAACTCGTGTTTTGTAGCCCGAGCGAATCTAGTAATGGCAGTGGCCTTGACGCCTTCGTCCAAGTTCGAGACATACTGTAGACGGTTTCTTTAAAATGAAGTACAGGAGGGAATAGTGGTTTTTTTTGCATACTCTGAACGTGACACTTTGGGACCGGTAACACGAAATAAACTGACATGCGGATTTCAATGCTAGAACTGAATGGGACACTTAATGATGACATTGTATTAGGCTGGGATTTTACAAGATAAACATTTATTAATTTGTAGTACTATGCAGTCTAAACATTTAACTACATACATGCAGGGTATTTCCTAGACTTGCAATAGTCTCCAAGGTAATAATTAATAATTTAAATGATAATTTCTAACACGTAAATAACAGACTGGCGTCCTGTCTAGACTTGCCTCTTTAAAGGAGAGAATTTCTATACATCCATGGGATTAGCATTCAGTACAGCCTTGGAGCAAGGCTAGGTATTGCACTGAAATTTTATCTACATTCAGGCCGTTTTCGGCAGCGTCGTAAGAGGTACAAACGGAATCGGGTGGTCAAGCTCGTTGACTTGGTTGACACATGTCATCGTATCCCTGCTTGCGCAGAGACGATGCTCTGCTGCTGATCACTGGATTGTTCTGGTTCAGACTTTGATTATTTACAGAGCGCCGTGCAATATAGCAGGAAGATTGCTGGAGCGCGCCGTAAAACCATACTCACTCAATACTTTACACTCGCCTCACAAAGCGGACTGGTATGTACCATGAATCCCGCAGACAAGCCGCTAAGCGGACACAGGCGCGTGTCGGCGAACCAGCAGAGATCAGTTACCGTAGTCGAACCGATTTATTCATGAATCCAAAGATTTAAGCATGCTAAGCGGACGAAGCGTGCCCATTGGACCCCGCGTAGATACAAGGCAGGCGACTGGCGTACCTATGCGAACTAGTGCAGATTTATGGCGAGTCGTCCAACACGCCGAATGCCTTTTAAATGGGTGCGAGTTGTCCATTTCTATAAACTTCATTTGTCCAGTGCCTACAATTGCTCCAGAGTACGTCCACATGCACCGAATGGTTCACTTGCTAATGTGAGGCAACATATCCCTCGTATTTCAAACCCGCGACCGTATCTTTCATTAACGCCATCGGTATATATTACTATAGAATAACGCCTCTTGTTGGCGGATCTTATGTATGTGACATGTACACAGGTCAGCAGACAGGCTTGCGACCTTGTAATTATCACTATCTATAAAAGATTACGGATTGTGCAGCTTAGTCGTGGTTTTGGCCTTTACCGTTTCACTCACTAACGACTCATGACCACGGCGGTGATGAGGAATCTCCTGCTTCCGACTTCTGTGGAGGTCTGTGGGGCGGATGGAAGCGGGTCTCCGCACTCCAGAACATTGAAGCCACCACTCTGGCCTGGTGTGTACTTCTACGCCGTGTTTAACATCAACCTGTATCATTTCAACCATTATTCTCAAATCCAGCGAAATACAAAATATGGTATCTGTCTTCCTAAACTGATTTCATCTTCCATCCGTTGTCCACGAATCCTTGAATTTTCCTCATTTTTGGCATGGCATAAACGAACTCCCCTTTTGACAAACGTACAGCGCTCATATACGTGAGCGAGTGAATTTCGTTTTACGCCGCTTCTTTAAAGGCAATATTCTAGCAAGATCACCGCGGGACACACTTCGCTACCAACGGTTTTCACGCGCATTGCATCCATGTGGGAACGGAACTGGTCTTTCGGCGTGACGAGCCAATGCTTTAACTACCAGGTTACCCCAATCACCAGCTATTTTCAGAACTTCAACCATACGTAATGCGTATGTGTTTGCGAAGGTGTTTATCAATCACTAACTACTAGTGATGATAATAAGGTATTCGCAATCGCGGACGATCCCGGGTTAGAATTGCCATTCTTTAGCAACATATGGAGCCGAAGTCGTAAGAGGCGACCAACGGATCGATGCTATATCACGCGACATAGCAACGGCTTCTTCACGTATTGTACCTATGGGATTCGAACCTGATCTTTCGGCGGCGTGACGAACGCTTTGCACCACTAGGTTATACCACCTCCTTCCCATTCAAGCCGATAAGAAGGTATGAATAACTCCACTGATCAACCTCAGCCATCGATGCAACTACCATCCATTATGTAGCGAACATTATCGCTGTCTGAACAACAGTGTATTTTCATGGAACCTGGGTATTTACTCGCAAATAACAATGTTCGGTTAATACGAGCTGAATAATTGGTGTGCTGAAAAACTTCTATGTAGAAATCGAAAGTAAGCCGGATGCTTCGATTGAAGGGGTGTGGGGGTGTGGGGTGTGGGGGTGTCAATGAGGGTGTGTGGGGGTGTGTGGGGTGTGTATTAGCCTAATGGTTAAAGCTGTCCATGATCTGCGCAAATTGGAACCGGTGACATGTGTCAGCTCCAACCAGCGAGCCTGACCACCCGATCCCGTTAGTCGCCTGGAATGAAAATTAAGAGACTGTATCATAATGATGTTCAATGATGGACAAGAGCTGTACAACTGAAGTGTTGGATGACGGTTGGGACTGTATACTCTGATTTTGTGGAATGAAAGGTGAGAACTGTGTGGCTGTAATGTTCAATGATGGACAGAGCTGTACGACCTGAAGTGTTGAATGAAGGTTAGGACTGTACCGCTCTCATTTCCAGGAATGAAAGGTAGAACTGTCATGACTGTAATGTTCAATGATGGACAGAGCTGTAATGACTGAAGTGTTGAATGAAGGGTGGTAGGACTGTATAATCTATTTGTGGAATGAAAGGTAGAGCTTGTATCCTCAGGATGTTCAATGATGGACAGAGCTGTACAACTGAAGTGTTGAATGAAGGGGTAGAGCTGTATAATTCTATTTGTGGAATGAAAGGTAGAGGCTGTATAACTGTAATGCTGAATGATGGACAGAGCTGTACAACTGGAAGTGTTGAGATAGAGGCTAGGACTGTATACTCTATTTAGTGGAATGAAAGGTAGAGGCTGTATAACTGTAATGTTCAATGATGAGACAGAGCTGTACAACTGAAGCAAGTTGAAATGAAATCAGGACTGTATAATCTATTTGTGGAATGAAAAGGTAGAGCTGTATGTTAACTGTAATGGTTGAATGACAGCTGTATAACAATAATATATATGTAGAATGTAAAGCGGGGTAGAATTATTACAGTCTCATGTGTTTTGAATTAAAAGGTAAAAATGGTACATGTGATGTGTTGAATAAACGGTAAAACGGTACATGTGATATGTTGAACAAAAAGGTAAAACCTTTATATTATGTGTGTTGAATAAAGGTGCTGCAAGGCAGGTATGTTGATGATGTGTTGAATAAACGGTTGAAAACGTTACATGTAGTGTGTTGAATAAAAGGTAAAACGCTATATTATATGTGCGTTGAATTAAAAGGTAAAACGGTATATTTGATGTGTTGAACGGCACGGTAATACAGCGGCTATTTGATGTGTTGAACAAAAGGTAAAAACCCTTTATGTTATATGTGTTGAATAATAGGATAGTAAAACGGTATATTTGATGTGTTGAATAAACGGGTAATACGGTACATTTGATGTGTTGGAATAAAAGTTGAAACGATATCTTTGATGTGTC